CCAGTGCATCTACAAAAAGAAAAAGGGCCACGATCCCGTTCCAAAATGAATAGGGAATAGAATTGGAAGAGAGCTCTCACCTTGACGAGCAACCGACGGTTGCCGCTTCATACTATTCATATCCCGAAAGGCCATGTGGCGTCGCACGCTCCCAATACCTGACCTCAGCAAGTTACCGCTGGGCGCGGGCGAATCGTCGGAGACGATCTTCTGCGTGCGAACCCTGGATCGCGGGCGGGTATTAGGGGTAATAGCGCCAGCGCTCAAGCTCAGGTCGGTTAGAAAGGACTCGCGCTCGTTGGCAAACTTGAAGAGCGCGGAGTCGAAATCAAAGTCCTCGGAGAACAGAGCAGAGGCACGCAGGGGGGATGAGGCACCCTTGACAGTCATACTGCTCCGGTTACTGTTAGTGCCACCATTTGTGCCCTCCGAGCCCTTCGAGAGCGTAGACAGTCGTTGGGTAGAGCCCCTGTGACTGGCGCCGACGAATAGCGTTGAGTTTGGCCGGGAGACCCCATCCGGGTTGTGTTCCTCCTCCGCATCGGCGTCCTCCTGAATGGTGTCTGCAAGTGCAGGGCCTGGAGATGCAGCGCCATTGGCACGATAATCTTCTCCCAATCTCTGGAAAGTGTCCAGGATCTCTGTACCATCCACGCCGGCTATCCAGAAGTAGTCGGCAAGAGGAGCGCCCTCGGAGTTGCTTGACGATGGCATTGTGGAGAGAGTCACGGCGGACTGTAGGTTAATACCTTGATTGTCACCACATGGATAATATTTCCAGGAAAGGGAATAGAACGCATGTGGGAGGGGGGAAAGCTGGTAAAAATGGGGGAGAACGGGAGGGAGGGGCAGTTTAAAGCGAAGATCAATTTTGGGGGGTTTGAAGGTCTGTAAAAAAAAAAAAGGATTGTTTTTGTGGTATTTCTAGGGTATTTCTACCCTTTCCTATCTACATTGGTTTTTTATTTTCTTTTTTTATTTTTTCTCTCGCGGGTAATTGCGCGTAGTAAGGAGATTTTGAATGTGCGTGTCTCTATAAAAAAAAAAACAGTCCAAAACATATAAGTCAAGAGCCTGGGCCATTCACCATGCACAAGAATGTTGACCTGCAGGCACGGTGTGGCTGGACTTTAAAGGGGATCCAGACTTCCGGGGTATACCCATAATGTCTATATCAACCTACAGTACATTTATCTGAGTATTTCTAGAGATGGTAAGAGCAAAAGGAGTTTAATATAAATAAAATGAATCTCCAGGGGTTTGCCTGTGATCCATGGAACTTCAGAAAACTCAAGCGGGTCCTTGAGGTTTTATATTCATATTCCACTACTTCGTATATACTCCGTACTCTGTACAGTCTAGTTATTTTCTAGTTATTTTGTAGTCATTTTCTAGAGCTTTTCAAGGGTCTTAGGGGGTCTTTAAGGAGTTTAGCTTGGTACGCCACAATGTCATTCTTTTATCTCGCTTTCAGGGGGTGAGACTATGAACCGAGGTCTTGGGAGTTTGTACGGAGTACTTGGCCGTTTAATCTGAGTCTTTTTTAGATTGCGGCTCAACGACTTTTGGTTTCTTTTCTCTTATATATTTTCACCTAAAGTTGCTACGAATACATACGTGTACCTCGGGTACGGAGTACTTAGAATTTCGAGTGGAGTGGCTTGCCGGGGAGACGATCGATACTACAGTTGGACAATGTGGAGTACAGAGGAAAGCATCGCTTAAGTCTATAAAATTTTCACGGTATTGATTTTATATTCAGAACAAATCCCACAATTTTTCTTAGATCCACTACTATCTGCCTATATCTCTGACTATCTGAGCATTGGACAACTAACATGAAAGTATACTTTTGTAAGCCTCCAATATACTATCCATATGTACTAGTGCAAATATTAAACGCCCCGAACGGCTGGTACCCGCGTTACGTGGACACAGGGGCACTTCCCTGCCCTTTCCGACCTGTCGCATCCCAGGATTTTTAGGGTTATTCTAACCATCTCCCCGATTTACGGTACTTGCATACACTATTATATAAGGAGAGAAGAGGCGGTGGACCCTATCTTCACAAAAATAAATCCAATTATAGAGGTACATACTAAAATAGAAGTCCGTGTGAGACATTATATTGTAAGTAGATAATGATCTTTCACTCCATATAAGTACGGAGTACGGAGTAGATAGGGCATCGATCAACCAGAGTCTAGACTCTTTCAATCACCCCATAACCTTGAATCTGGACTCTTAAGAGGCTTTGCATGTAAACCCAAAATAAATTTCGATATGTGACATCCCGTAGAATACGTGGCCTTGGGCCAAGAATGAATTCCTATTTATTTTTTTTCTTTTCTGCAAGCCCTATGAGGAGCAAATGCCCGACCAAAATGGGCAAATGCCCAGCCCCGGAGCTTCCTTGCCGGGAGGCAACTGCTGTGCGACAAAATTAAGCGTCGGCTGCATGGCAAGGCCAGTTTCTACCCCGTGCTAGTGGCGGCCAACACATCGGGCTCTATTCCAGAGCCCCAGGCACTCCATGCTCAAGCCTACGATGGCGTGGATATATTCAAAGCCCAATATATTACACTGGACACCCCAATTTAGGACCCAGTCAATACCAATGGTAATATTGTGTAAGTGGGCCATTGGAAATGTGTACAAACCGCCCTTGCGGCCCCCTCCATGCAACTCGGCGGCTAGATGCACCGATACAACTCGGCGTCCATATCGTGATACAGTAGCGAAAATGAGCCAGTTACTTGGTTGCACACCGCGTTTCAAGTGCGTTTCCGACTCATTAGGTTGCCCGTCGTCAGGAACCCCTTGTCCCCCATAGCCCCGCGCCATTCAATCGACAACTGACCCAGCGTGGCACGACCGTCCCGTCGTAGGTCCTTCTGGAGTGTTTCAAGTCCCTCATTCTGGCCCTCTTCTTGTTCCACCAGAAATGCTACCTGTAGGACATCCCGTGGATTAAGTGTGGGTAGTGCCGCAAGTGACATGTCCGGGTTCGTCGTGTCCCAATTTAGCGATTTTGATTGGAACGGTGGCTTGGGATTTAGTTTTGTTTGCTGTCCATCCCCCAACGTTAGCCAACTTGTTGAGCATTCCAGCCCGTTTTCTTTTTGGGTACAGCCACGCTTCGTGGAAAATCCACTCATTCGCTGGGAATCAATAGGAAATTCATACCTTGACTACCACCGCGCCCTCGCCCACGTTTTCCAATTGTGCCTCCAGGGCAAACCGGAGTAACCTCGTTTTCCCGTACGGACCAAGTGACTTATTATCTACCTCGAGCGGCGGAAGTTCGGACGCCTTGGTCCGAACGCTCAAACAGGGCTGTGCCACAAATTGGTATAGCTTGCGGAACGTCCTGACCCGGCCACTGGCTGCCTGGGAGTCTGAGCCAATCTTTGTCTCTGTATAGCTGACACTGACAGCTAGTATATGGTTTCCTTCTTCCTTCAAATCAAACCGTACGATCTTTTGTAATGACTCGCCGATCGTAAGGCCCTCTGTTGATGCAGCGTCGCTGGGAGGCTCTAGCTCCAGTGCCGCGACTGACGAAGGTGTTTGCATTTCCGCTACAATGTGCACCGATGTAAGGATTCTCACATTGTCATCATCATCAATCTCATTGTTCGCACTGAGTGTGCATCCAAAGGTTTCTCCGACGTAGACGGATCCGAAGGAGGGAGGTAGAGTAAGCTAATACCGTTAGTGGACAATTTCCTTGGGGGCTTAATGGCCGTCTCACAAGAGGCGCTAGAATGAATTGATCATCAGAGTCACCGGATGGATAGCTCAGTGAGGCTTTCGTGGAGATTATGGTGTTAGACGTCGGGAGCGGATACTGATAAGAAAGTGCCGGTCGCGCAAGGCTGTGTATTGAAAGTCAGGAGCTGCCATCAACACGAGGATATGGATAATTAGAATTACCGCAACACTAATAAATTGATAATTAGCTTGCTGGTCCAACTATGGTTGTATTCACATACCTTTGAGAGAGACCGCATGTGGTTCCTTTGGGGCATCAGCGCCCGACAAAGCCCGTGGACGTGACATAGAGAGCAATTTCGGGAATTAGTTCCAGAGAGGAAAAGTGAAAATGAAGCGAAGAATTAGCTGTGATAGTGGGATTTGCAGTATAGCGTCATCTTGTCGATGAAGAGGGACAGTCCACAGTTCTCCACGAGCTGATAGCGATAGTGAAGCTTCCCCAAACAAACAGTGCAAACAGTGCAAACGATCGCTCTTTCTTAAAGTGTCACCTACGACTTCCAAGATTGATATCTCTCTACCTAACCCACTTGAATGTGTAAGATTATTACGAAACAGTCAATTTCTTTCTATCTCAATAGATATGTATATAGGTAAATATGTTCACGTGTAGAACTACACATTATGTCCCTGGGAAATCGAGCAGAGACACTACCCAATGAGGAAGGAGCTTGGATTTCTTCAGGGCTTAGTTACATACATGTACAGTATATAGTCATACCTTGTATAGGTGGACAAACAACTCATATTCACTCTATATCCCCCATGTAGACTATTTTGGCCAAAGTTTATACACAGACCCGTGAGGCACATCTAGAGCATGTCGTACTTACTGACATCCTCCTGAGACTCTATACTTTGAAAATCATATGACACTTCACGTGGTCTCACCTCCCTTTGATTGTTGTTTCCAATAGTACATAAATTGATCTAGCGTTTTCTTTATTATATTTGCAATATAAGAGAAGATTTTTTCCATGGTCCCCTACCTTTCCTAAAGATACTGTCTTTTCATACTCCCAGGACTGAGAGCCCAATTCAAGCTTCACAGTGCACTTCACTCAGTGCCTCCCAAGAAGCCATGCCCGAGAGACGCGCGCTTCCATGGCTAGACGGGCCTACCGAAGAGTTCTTAACAAGAGACTTGCGCAATGAAAAGGAAATGCAAGTAAATATTGACGAATATGGCATACTTCGATTGACTAATCAGCGTTGCTTTTAGCATGTCTATCACTGCGCATAATATCGGCGGAACCGCGGAGGTTCCAGAAATCTCATTTGATGTTGTTGGATCTAGAGGTCATATCTACAAAACGGTCATTGGCAAATTGCCTCGCTGTAACTGTCCGGACGTCAGATTCCGGAAGGCACAGTGTAAGCACATCTGCTTTGGTAAGTCTCAACCCAGCTCGCTAGATGGATACTACATACTCTGTTTCGTACAGCTCGTCTCGTTCTCTCTGTTCTCTCTGTTCTTCTTATGCCAATGCATTGTCAAGTCCTATCTGCGATAGACGTCCCTGGGAAACTGAGGTACCAGCGATCATTGTTGCCGTCTGTGAGTTATTGCAAACCTCAATCAAGCATCCCACTGTTTATACATATTCCTAATCCAGTTGCCTGTTAATCAGGAGCTACGCCAGATGCTTACTGCATCATCCTTGGAAAATATCGAGGACAGCAGTACCCTTATTTCTGCCAGCCAAAGGAAGCCTATCGAGGGCGAATGCCCAGTTTGTTTTAATGATTTCAAGACCAACCAGGTAAAAAAGGCGTGTCATTCATGCGGTAACATTGTGGAGCTCTTGCTAACAGTGTGCTTCTTGGAGGGCACGAAACCAAAGGTGTCACATCTATAGGATGTCAGATCGAGGAATGGCTTTGTTGTGGAACTCGATATTGACGTTGTCTCTTTTTATCAATTGGGCTTTTACTTTTAGACGGTCTTCATTTGGGAAATTGGAAATGGGCATTGGGGATGTTTTGTTTTAAGAAACCTATCATTGAGTCACGCTCACTCTTTGCCGGTGCAAGCCCAAGCATGGATTGCTCCATTGTCAGGCCCGGATTAACAGGAGTCAACTCGTGGCGTGATTTTATGGGAGAAGTATTTATGCGTTGAAGTCGGAAATCTGGTGTTCGGTGCTGGGATGGGGTGGACTTTCTTATATGCTGGATACTCCCAAATGAATTTGATACCATTTTTACAATCTCCAATATCGAATGTAGACTACAATATCGACTAGACTACATTTACTTGCTACTACACTCGATTGGGACATCTTACAAATTTTAGTTACACTGTCGGTAAAGCTAAATATGACAAGAAAGCAACAAAAATGATCTATTCATATCAAATCCGGGTATCACATCAAGCCCCAATGGCCCAAGAAACAAAAGTTTTCAACTCCCCAAAATCCAAGAACACCAAACACATGATCTTTTACATATCCCTTTGAAGCCGCTGACCACGTCGAACAGTCGCAACGCTAACACCTTCCTCACCAGTCATCCAAGACGGCATACGTTCAGGGTCAATGATGCCTAATTCGGCAAGTTTGCGAATCCCGCCGATGACGTCGGAGCCGGAGAAAGTGAGTGACACTGCAGGTAGCGTGGATGTAGAATCATCAACATCATCATCCTGCTCCTCACTGGATCCCGGTTTATCGAGGACTCGGATATCAAGACGGTCCAGCGGTGCTGGGGCAAGTGATGACCCCAATGTTCCGAATCGGGAGTGAATGGCCAGACAACGTTTCTTCGAATCAGGAGAGAGTGGGCCTGTATCAATATCGCTGGATCTTCGTTTGGTCGCTGAGCCATTTGCATTTTCTTTGCCTTCTGCTAGGCCGGTATGACTCGCTTGGATATGCTCTTCAGGTGAGACAGTATTGGAAGGTCGAGGGTCCAACGGACTTCCTTCGATAGCTGCGTCTGCAAAGATGCTAAAGGCGCCATTTGATGCCGTTGATCGTCCAGGTCCGCGCAGGGCTAGAAGAGTGGGCAGATTCTTTGCTGCCAGGGATGTTGCCTGCAGAGAGAATCGTTCCTGTGGGCGGGATAAAGCTTTGGGAATGGAATCGCGCACCAGACGCTGAAGAGTTCGAGTATCAGTAGCGACTGAGCTTGTCGAAGGACCCGCTTTTGATCCGGTGGATGCTGCTATTGAAGTGTAGACGTAAGGGCAGCTATCCGGGAAAGCGACGTAGATGACTCGGGAAGAGTCAGTAAAGACCTCGGCTGCCTGCCTAGGGGATTGATATGGCGAGTCAACAACAAAGATACGTAGGAAAGTTAGTGGCAGTGTTTTTGAGTGGGCGAGGTGGTAGTGGGCCTTGACTAATGGGGAGATTTCCCGTTGGAGTCCTTGCACAAATGTTGCAGCTTGCATGCGCGGTACTGAACCGGACCAGTCAGCTGGTGAAAGTTTCTTGGAGTTGCTGCGATTTGCATCAATACGGCTGAGCTCCAGTGCAGTCCATCGAAGGCTGGCGGGGTGGTCGTCCATGTAGCGGAGGTCCGCCATGGCCAACTGGCGCAGTGTGATTCCATGCCGCCAATCGCCTTCCAGGATTCGTTCGAGAACTTCACGCTTTGCGCCCTTTCGATCCTGTAGGTCTTCATATACCTGGCGGACTTCTTCAATTGTCTCCCCCGCGGGGTAGGGGAGGGCTTCGTCATCATCGGAGCCATCTGCTTCGTTGGCCTGTAGGTATGGTGGGAATGAGGCGATGTTGCGGTCATCAAGCCATGTGAATGCCAGATCCAGTAGTGCTTGCCTGGATAGCTTCCCCAGGGATTTTGTGAGGGACGGAGTCGACGAGGGAATGCGGAGGTTATTTGGAAGACTGGCTGTTGTCGGGGCGCGAACCGTTTTAGGACGCGCCATGGCCGTAGTTGACAAGGTATTGGTACAATACTTGGGGGTGTTCAAGATCGTCTTATATCAATGGCAGGCGCATTCCTCTAAATCCATATCTTGATCTATTCACGTGCTTGCCCAGGTTCTTCTTTCTAAATTCCAAAATCGACCGTCAACAAACATGCACGTGTCGATAAGCTGATAAGGATTGAGATCACCTGACTATGTATGTCATCTGGATGCTGATCCATGGCATCTGGTGGGAGGTCACCTGACCTATATTGAGATGTTTGCTTTAGTTTTAGCTACTACATATGTAGGTACTTTGTATGCTGTAGTTCCCCTTCCTTTTCTCTCGCACCTACAAAGATTTCTTATCTAGCCTTCTTGTTTCTTTCGTGGTACTTGCTTTGTTTCTCAGTTATACAGTACAGAAGTGGAGGATTGAATCTACATGTATTTTCACCCCTAATGATTTTATGAAGACTTATATACTATCCTTCCAAAATCAGGAAGACAAGTGAATACATCACAGCCTAACTATACTGCCCCACTTCTCCAGAATGGGCAGACCACAGGTAGACATAGTACTTACATGTTGTACTCTGTATGCTCACCTTGTTGGGGGTTTAACCGTTTGACGGTGGCACCAGTTTCTGAAAGGTAACTTACTCACCAATAACATTCCATCATATGATGATATGGTATTATATGCATAATGTATTGTGTCCAGGTGGATAGGAATGTACAAGAATCTATGGAATTGGACCGAGGCTCTGGATCTGCTGACAAAAGTGTGGGTCACTTTGGGCCAAGGTTGAAATGTTGAAAGTTGCAAGATGCCCATGGTCTTTTGTTTTAAGCGAATTTTGAACTACACTTCTAAGATTCTGTCTAAGAATAATCATTTACAATCTCTTTCTTTTCTGAATCAACCTTTCCCTCCTTTACCATGGAGGCGAATGAACGCAAAAATGTTGCCGTGATTGGCACAGGGATGGCTGGGCTAGTTGTCGCATACATGCTCAGGAATGATCACCGGGGGAGATTCGATGTGGAAGTATTTGAAAAGGTAAAGGTTTCTCTCACGACACTGTTGCGCGAACTTTGAGCTAATTTCAACAAAAACACGCAGCAAGACAAACTTTCTCTCGACTCCGCATCATACAATCTCACGGACCACAATGGGGGAGACGCAAAGTCCGAACGCCTCGATCTTCCTATGCGCACATTCGCCGACGGATACTACGAAAGTCTCAAGCGAATGTATGATTATTTTGGCATCCCATATGGCTCGCTACGGTTTATTTACTCTCTGTCGACACTGCCGGACAATGCCTCAAAACAAGCCTCTCCATACTACATGCATTCATCAAATAACCACCAACTACCTCCCCTACGTCCGACAGGCTTATCATGGGCTGGGTGGCTGATCGAGGTGTGCTACCTAGCAATGTGCTATTACTGGTTCAAAGCCTGCTGCTTCTTTGTAGCGCCCAAAACGTTAGAGTCGTCCGGCACGGAGGAATCTCTACGTCAATATGTGGAGAGGATTATGTTGCCTAGCTACTACGTGAAGCACTACTTCCTGCCAGTCTTCGCGAGCGTTGCGACTTGCTCACACGATGCGCTGATGGATTTCCCCGCTCTTGACCTGGTCAATTATGGGAGACGAACCTTCCGCAAACATCACTACACTGTTCTTGGTGGCGTTCAGCATGTCGAGAAAAAGCTGTCCGAAGACTTGACGTATAAACTTGGCATGAAGGTCACGGCGGTCGAGAATGTTGGCACAAAAGTCCAAGTGAGCTGGACAGATACCCGTGATGGCCAGAGCAGCTCACGGCTATTTGACCATGTCATTCTGGCCGTGACGCCTGATGTGGTTGGCGCGATTTTCCAGCCTCTCCGAAGCGCAATGAAGGCTGTTCCCACAGCAACTGTTCAATCCGTTGTACATCGCGACTTTTCCCGGATCCTGGATTCTAGCAAATCTCTCTGGGCGCAAGTGTCTTTGAAATCCGGCGAAGCAGCACCTCACCCACTCCATATGTGCTCAAATGATACGGTGACTGAGACGATTCATGAACATCCGTCATCCACTCTTATTACAACCTATCCTATTTCTCCGATTGACCCTGAGAAAGTCTTGCACATGGCCACATTCACTCGTGTTTTGCGATCGACCACCAGCCGACAAGTGGTCAACCAGATCTTCGGCCAGAAGAAACCTGGAGATGAGAAGAGCCAGCTCTGGCAGAATGGAGATGGAAATGTCTGGCTGGTTGGTGGCTGGTGCTGGGACGGGATGGTCCTGCTCGAGGGGTGTCTCGCTTCCGCGACGAGGGTGGCCAGCGCCCTTGATGTCGAGGTGCCTTGGATGAAAGACTCCTCTTTATAACGACCTGTCAAGATGATAACGAGACTTGCATGTGCATATTTTCGGCATTTATAAATGTTGATATACCAGTGGAGACATCCATTATACATAGCATATACAATGTGAACAAACACATCATAAACATCAGACTTTTGCTATGATATGCTAATCTGCTACAGTCTGTGGTCCGCATGCCATCTATCAAGATCCGCTTTTCTTGCTGCCTCTTTCCACCTCGAACACGCCACAAAGTTCAGCCTAGAATCCTATACAAACCAGATGCGCGATAATAAGGGTACATGGCAATGGACACTATTTTACCGCAGTCAGAAAGCTGAATCTGGTGGGTCTAGTGCGTCACTTACACATATGGGATCACCGAGATGATTGGATCCTGGCGGACAGGTATTCAATGGTCCGCAGCATCCAGCCAGAGGACCACCATTGATACATGTGAAGCCGCCCGGGCACTTTTTTTGGGATTAGTTCAGGGTCCTACAAGGGCACACTCAGGAACTTACACATGTTTTCGACGATTGACAGAAAGGCTGGCTCGTAGGGCAGTTGATGCAATTGCCGTCAACGCAGCCTCCACCTCCCGGTCCGAAATTGCACTGTCGAAGAAAACACTATTTAGTATGCCCATCCAATGCATTGCAGAGAAAGGATCCGAAACGAAGGGGGGAAGCACATACAGCTGTACTGCACAATCCACAATGCTTCACGTCAGTCGTCAAATCAACACACGTCCCACCACAGCAAGCTGGTAGCGCGCCAGTACACGGCGCAGCAGTGCAAGATCCACAATGCTGCAAACTAGTAGATAAGTCTGTACACTGCCCAAAGCAACACCCAGGTTGTGTTCCACCACACGGCAAAGCCGAACAAGAATTGCAGTGGTTGGCATCAGAATTAAGATCAACGCATGTCCCCGAGCAGCAAGCGGGATTAACACTAGTACACGAATTCGCCGAGCAAGATCCACAGTGGTCAATTTCGGTCGCCAGATCTGTACAGACACCAGAGCAACACGCCGGTCTAGAGCCCACGCACGGGGGTGCTGTGCAACTGCCACAGTGCGCGAGATCAGTGCTAAGATCTGCACATACCCCGTTACAGCAGGTTGGAACGGCGCTGGGACATTGGATTGAGCATCCGCCGCAGTGGTTGGGGTCTGCGAGGATATTGGTGCAAATTCCGGAGCAGCAGGTTGGTTGGCTTGCTGGGCACTTTTGGATTGTTAGTATAGTTGTCTAAATATAGTCTGCATTATTTGATGCGAGAAAAGTGAAATCTCACTGTTGTATTACATGTCCCACAGTGAAGTGGATTAGTAGCTAGATCAGTGCATTGGCCAGAGCAACAGCCTGGTCGGAGTCCACCGCATGGCAAAGCTGAACAAGAACCGCAATGATTCTGATCGGAAGTTAGGTCTGCGCAATTTCCACCGCAGCATGCAGGGCTCGTACCTGTGCACTATTTCATGGTATCATATAAGCAAGGTCGTTATTGTGTGGGCTGCGATATTAGGCCACGTAGGGCAATAGTTGACTCACAGTACGATTACATGCCCCACAACTATTGATATTTGAGAAAACATCAGTGCACTTCCCTGAACAGCAAGCAGCGTTGAGACCACCACAAGGGAGGGCGGTGCAAGAGCCGCAGTGTAGTGGGTCACTACTCAGGTCCCTACAAGTCCCAGAGCAGCACGCTGGCGTAGTTCCGCTACACTAAAAAGGGTAATTGTTAGGAGATTCATTCAGTAGGGCAACGTGGTAACGAGGTATTGACTTACCATATTACTACATGAGCCGCAATTTGTAGTTGAGGTCGCGAGATCAGTACATTTGCCCGCACAGCAGCCAGCCTGCACTCCCAGACAGGGGAATGCATTGCAAGAGCCACAGTGCCAGGGATCAATGGCTAGATCTGAACAAGAACCTGAGCAGCAGGCTGGTGTTTGGCCAGTGCACTATTGAACAATATGCGTCTCAGCAGATAGACTTCCAATTTTGTGCTAGCAATATACTCCAGTCAAACCGGGGCATTACTCACAGTCCTGTTACATACACCACAGTTGGCGAGGTTGTTATTGAGATCTTGGCATACACCAGAACAGCAGGCGGGTTTGATTCCAGTACACTAGTTGGTGTGAGTAAATTTACAATAGCTGATATCCCTAGAATTTGTTTCATACTTACTGGTGACGCATCACACGCTCCACAATTATCAACACTCGAGCTCAAGTCCGTACACACTCCGTCGCAACAGGTTGGCGGTGAGCCGACGACGCACTATAGATCAGAAGATGTGTGAGAAATGTCGTATCTGCAGAGTAGTATAATGCAATCAGTACTTACTATGGCCCCGCAAGCTCCACAGCTTCCCGTGTTCGACGTTGTGTCTGTACACAAGAAGAAACAACATTGTAGTCCTTGTGCGCACTATTTGCGTACGATAACCATTTTGTCAACAGTGCTGTTCTTATTTGCTTGTGGCTAGACTTTGCGCATGATCAAACTCACATTTGGAATCCAGGGGACACAATAGGTAACATATTGCTGTGGATTGTGTATATCAAGAGAGCTGAGAACCGCTGGTCCAAGTTTAGAAGCTAATGTATATGTGCCACCTGCAGAAATTAAAGGGATACTAACCCAAAAGAAGAAAGGCAAGCATCTGTACGGAGGGCGACATCTATTGATAGTCAACAGTATAGATGAGATAGAGGATACGAAAGCGATAGACCTTATATTACGCAATTTACATGCGATGATGCATCATGCTCTGGTTAAAGTGGTGTGTGAGGGACTAAAAACTACAATCGGGGTGTCTTTTGCTGCGTGTGTTACTCGATTCAACACCACGGTGATCATAACTTTGCCTCGCAAATTTCAAGGTACGCGGTATTTATACGGAGATAATTGGGTCAGATTAGTAAATTAGTGTTGAACTAGATGGATTCTCTCCTTGTTTAAGATACATACTTTTTTATATATATATATGATAACCATACAAAATGTATCTCGACAAATGCATCTAGGCAAAAATGCTTCTGGCCAAGTTAGATCCTTATGCACATCACATACCACGGTTGCAGGGAATAGTGTTGTGTGACATGAGTTGAAGACTGAATCTCTCGCTGGCAGGGATTCGTACTACTTGTCGCCCACTAGATAGTCCGATCAAACTTAGTTGAATCAAGAACTAGCTTTATAAGCCAGTAGTCTTGTCCAAGTATATCAGCATATTCTTCACTTGAACCTTAGCATGGTACACAAATCTAACTTTCAAGGGTAGTTGATATATAATATCAATAGCAGTTGGCCCCAATGGGCGGGAAAACTCCGATGTGAAGCTATGTCACCGTTGTCTGTTTCCAGGCTGAAACGTTAATATTGCGTAACACTCTGTGGTCAGAATGGAAAAGACGGATATAGAGAAATTAGGGGGTGAGGTGAATCGATTCTATGGCATGTTTGGCAGGAAGATGTTCTAGACTCCATACAAACAATAGGATTATTGTCACTTATGCTACACGAATTGAGATAAAACCTACAAACAGAGCAGTTCTGCTCTTGCAGCTTGTACCATGGTCAGAATTGGAGATGTTTGAATCAAGGTTGCTTCATTAAGAGATGTAGAGATATAGCCGCTAAAATATACACTTTTTATAATTACGTTTCCCTAATGGGAATATGATCATGTACAAGAACAAACCCATTATATGTTTATTGCCGGTGCACAGCCTCCTCCGCCTGCACTTCGGCATCCTCAGCTGCGTGTCCTTCCTGGACAGCTTCATAAAATGGCGCGAACTTGCTCTTCATCCTCAGTCTCTTACCGAAGAAGTAGAATCCAATGGGAATCGGAACAAGGACGGCTGCGACGCATCCGAGAAGCGTAGAAGCCCACTGGATACCCATGCCATTGAACATTTGGCGTGAGAAAAGTGGGAAGCTTGCTGCCACCATTGAGCGGCAGAATGTGTTTGCTGCGATGGCTGATGCGGCACTGTAGATAATAGGTTAGATAAGCCCATAAACAGTTTGAGTAATGGGGGTGATGACATACAACATAAGATATGTGTCAATCAGATAATTGAACAATTGAATGAAGATGACCAGAAGGCCAAATCCGGTAAATAGGCCACTCAAGGTGGGCACGATCCAGTGGACGGTACCACTGAAGCCGGTCCACCCAAACCAGAAGAGCCCAGCAGCGAAGAGACCACCGCCGACCATCACGGGCGGGAGACGCCACTCGGGGATGGGGACACCACCGTTCATGTCGAGTTTCTTATTGTAAGCCTTGCTAGAGAGGAGGATGTAAGACGTGGCGATGAACAGACCCACCACCATGCCGAAGAGTGGGAGACCTCCAACACCGGCGTTCATACCGTAAACACCCTGGAAGACCAGGGTGTAGGCGGTCAAGAAGCAATAGAGCAACCCGTAGATGAAACTTAGGTAGATAGTGACAGCTAGAATCAACGGCTCGTTAATCAGCAGGCGAAGCGGGCGAGAGAAGTTGTTTATGATCAGCTCTCGAAGATCGACCTCGATTTCCTCTTGCTTCGCATGGATTCCCCAGTTCTTAGTCCGGCGACGCAGCTCCGCGGCCTTTTCCACAAGGACAACAGGGGGATATGACTCCTTCAGGAAGAAAAGATTCAGGAGAAAAGCGGCGAAGCCCATAAACGCGGGGATGTAGGCGGTCCAGCGCCAGCCGAGGTAGGACATATTAATGAAGCCTCCGATGAAAGGTGCCAGGAGAGGACCCAGGAACACCGTCGAGGCGAATAGGGCAATAGCAGTACCACGAGTGCGGTTGTCCCAGATATCAGAGAACACAGCAGCTACAACTGCCAAGGGACAACTGCCGAAGATACCGCAGAAGAATCGGCAAATCAAGAGTGTTTGTAAGTCTTTTGCGACTGCGACGGCGATGTTGAAGACGCCAAATCCGAACATGGCGATGACAATGGGAATACGACGGCCCTGGAGTTCGGATAGGGGAGCCCATATCAAGGGGCCCGAGGCGTAGCCGACGATGTATAGAGAGCTGGAGAGGATGGCGACTTCGAGGCCGACGCTGAAATGACTAGACACATTGCTGGATGAAGCACTGAAAACGGCGGAATCGAAGGTGGAGCAAATACTGGTGAAGGCGAGGATGGCACTGATGTAGCATCTGGATTGGGGACGTTAGTATTGGACGGACGCTGCGCATTTAATGCGCGGTAGGATATGGAAATTCATGGTGAAACGACTCACTTCTTTTTCACAGGCCAGTTCAGCGGGTATAATGGGTCATCTGGTCCATCGAACTCCACAACGTAATCCTCCCGTGCAGGGAGAGGTGGAGGGTAAGGCTTGCCCCCACCAAAAGCTGGCAATGGAGTTAGCGACGGTCGCGATCGAAGACTCTCTCCCACGGTAAGCGCATGTTGGGCGCGTTGCGTCTCGGTCCTGCTCAATGCGCGCGATGCCCCAGTCCGATGACGTTCCAAGTCTAGCTCTGTGTTCCGCGATTGCAGCCTATGTATCTGCGGGTCATATTCAAAGGAGCTGGTCGAGCCAGTCGACGATCCGATAGAGCCTGAAGAGGCAGGTCTCTCTATTTCAGCGGAGTTCCGTGGCTTTTCGCTTGGATGTGAAGCCTCAGCCTCAGGCAGGTGATCGGCCATATTGCCAATGGCGACCGCTTTATCAATTCGGGGATTATAAGTCGATCTCGCCGATCTCCTTGGCTGCAGTATCTTTTTCCCCGTTGGGACTGTCAGAGAGATCGGAAAGGTACAGGGTGCCTTAAATATGTAGGGGAAAAGTCTTTTCTTTTTCGCCATCCAAGCGCGGGCAATTTGTTTATAAAAAAACTTTTCCCAAAAAAAAAGAGCGCCGAAAGCAACTATGATCGTCTAGACCCACCACTTAGCGGCTTCAACGTGGGATAACTGCCGAACTTATCGGGTAAAACGGAAGCATTAGAACTTCAATATTCCTATCAATTAGGACATATATCGAGATTATGTATATTGACGAGTTGCCAATATGAATGGGCAAGTCGCCATATAACTTTTTTCTCCCTTAGAAGTGAACCCAGGCAGAAATTCATGAAGCTCCGAAGTACCTAGTTACCTAGGTAGGTACCGCCTCTTTACGTCATCATGAATCAGGTCCGCCACAAGCTCGGGAGGCTTGCATATGCTATATTAAGGAAATTAGATACAATTTATAGCAGAGATTTTACAGAATTTATTCTTATATCGTACCATATACATACCTTTCGGGCTTTCAGGGGAGTGGAGATTGGGCATCTATGGCCCACAAGCCCACTATATACTCCCAAGTACGGAGTACTCCGCACATATAATATGAAAAATGTCTCAGACTTCTCCATCCTGGAACGGCCATCCTTCCTCGAATTTTTCAAGTTCCTCTTCCGTACAACTTTAGAGTCGAACCCCAAAGACTTGTTTCTCTCAACAGCATGGTCATACAAGTCATTATCTATCCAGCTATCTTCTGAAACCTGGAGCTCATCACGCCAGTCATTGGCAATTGCGCCCGAGGTTGCCCACCACTGTTTGGTTTTTTTTCGTAATCTTGAACTTCCTCCTCGGAGAATCGAATAGGAGATTCCGGAGATGCGTCTCTGCCGGGAACTTCATCCCAGATATCATTTAGATACATCAGTACGCCACGCAGAGTCGTGAGGTCTCCCCACCATTGGCGCCCGGAGTATTCCACAAGCTGCTGGCGAAGGAAGACTAGCGGGTCGCGTAGAGCTTCTAGGTGCAACTTGTTCACTGCGCTATTGGACACGCGGTATCGATAGGATAGATAGCCCATTTGAAGGTGGTAGTCAATCCCGGCTTTTTCCTGGGGGTCCATCTCGGCATATCCGAGTGGTTGAGTTCCTGGTTCCAGATTCTCAAGACTGGCCGGTGGAGAGTGTTGGAACATTTTGGGGTGTCCAGCAATGGGAGATAATGGAACGATGACCGCGTGTTGCCAGTCGATAATGGATGTTGTCCTAAATGTGTCTGGATCCACGAAGACATTCGCAAATGTAAAGTGAATTTATGGTCAGTATCGGTATGCACCAATATACGAGACGCAAGGTGAGATACCAGGGTGTCGTAATGCTGGTCGGTTCGACACATTGCCGGGGTCTTTGGGCAGAAGGTAAGGAGCCACTGCCATATACTTGCGAAGCGCCAGATAATCATGATGACACGCAGCACCTAGAAATTCGAGACTATAAGGGAAGCATTCGACTGGCTTTCCAAAATTATCTGTCCATTGGAGCTCCTTCCAGCTGTAGCAAGCAGGTATTGTGTCGGATCGTTCCCTAAATGTAGGTAAACGATTATATGAGCCAAAAAAAAACGACTTTATCATTCTCTTTTGACCTGACATACATCGGCCTATGTCCAAGTCAAGCGCCGCTCGCCGCTCGCCGCCCATGCCAAATTCCGTAGTCCGTGATTGGCCTAATGCAGTAGATATCAGCGTCGTTGGTCTCGTCTGATATACCTTGCATATACAACCTGCCTTGTAGATCAGTAGGAAGGTCGCGTTTGAAGTAAAGGCTGCCCATAGAAGCAAAAGGAAGATCAAATATCCTCTTCTCGATAGCCACAATATCGTCCACAAAAGCCTGGCGATTAGGTTCTGACATATCTAAACAGTTATTTTAACTGCTGCAATGCCTGGTGCACATTCCATGACAATTTATTCAATGCCGACTGGATTTTCCGTCGTTGAAGACCAGCCGTAGACCTTAGGCACCGGGATATCTTTTGAACTAAGAAAGGTGAGAGTAGCGACTTCACTAGCAGTGGCGTATGTCTTTGGCACTGTGCTCTGGTATGGAATTTTGACAACGGCTTGGAATCCATCTTTCATGGTAGCTATGAGTACTCGATTGAAACCGCCTTCGCTCATCTTGGAAAGTTGGGTGACCTTTCCATGGCCAAGATGGCTTGCAACCGCATCTTTAAGAGCTGTAACATTGAATGGGACATGTTGTTCCCGAATACGAGCTGCTTCATTGTATAAGAACCGCCCAGAGGAATATGAAAATAGGCTACTGTCGGTTGTCACAACTGATCGTAGGGTGAGTAAGTCTACATTGACGAAGACACAGAAGACAACACCCGAGAAGCTTGATCAAGACCCACCTTGGAATGATCGGCAGTGACTTGTGAACCTTTTTGATTCTTGTTTGGCATGGTACAGTTGTGGTGTTGACAAAGTTGCTCGACGCGCGTGAGAAATCCGTGGACTGTGCCATGATGCCAAGCGAACAATCGGAGACCAAACTCGAGTCGACATCTTCAGAAGAGGACTTGATATTTGTGTTGTCCCGAAATTTTAAAGCCAGTGAGTTTCAATGTTGTCAAGTTTGCTCAGGGGTTTGACAAGGTCAGCCTGCCCAGGCAGGCTGCTGCATGTCTGATGAGTCAGGTTTTATACAGACCCCGGCATGGATGGTCTCCTTGAAGGATTTTGAAAACGGCAACAATGTCTTAGGAATCACTCTGTATCCTTCAGCGCAAAGGTATATACATCATAGGAAACAAAACCCTCATTTGTACCAACTTGTACCCGCATTAGATGGCCCGCTTGGGCGAGGCTTTGATTTCAGCCCCCAAGTCCCTGCTGCCAAGTGTTCTAATTTGAAGACCGGGTTGCTGATTGGACATTCTCACTCAACGTATGGGTCTATATCCATCGAGATCTTCAACGGCATGCAGCCAAAGTTAGGCTGCATGGATGAGAGGATCCACCGAAAGTAGGCTGCGCAACGACTGTTCGAGGAAATGTTACTCGGGTCTGTTTTTCTAAAAACGATTACCTTTGATTTGAAGCCTGATTCACTCTTGGCCTATGTAGCAGGCTAATATCATACGGTCACCACACAAGAGAGACCACTGGACCCATCCAAACCCTCACTCCTTTTTCGCAACAACCACAATCCCCCTCACGACCCTCCCCTTAGCCCACCACGCGAAAGAAAACCTGGCCGCGCGATACTTCCCCATTTTAATCCCAAACGGCCTGGCCTCCTCAACCCTGCGCTTAATGAAACCCGCCAACCCTCCGAAAACGTGCTGCGAGACATCTCGGATCTCAATAAATGCAGGATTGTACCCAGCCGTAACAAGTAGCTCCACATATTCCTTCTCGGTTACGAAATTCCCGAACGGCGAGTTCGTGCCCCAGCACACGAGTCGGAGGAGGATCTTTTCGTACCAGGTTATACTATTAGATAGTATCATGTCGAAGGCCATGAATGAGGCATTGAGCGAGTTGTGTGCATAGGTCAGGATAGGCAGGCGTGAGGGGCGGAAGTGATACATTGTGTCCAGGGCCAGGAGCCATGTAGATATGTCTTCATTTTCATTTTGTTTGGTTGACGCGTCTGCAAGTGTTGTGATTGATTTCTTCAACTCCCCAGTCCAAGAGCTCGGGACCGCAGCATCTGCGCAGAAGATATCTGCCTCGATAGATTCTTCACTGTCTCTCCGCGTTTCTTGTATGCGGCGTGAGCCGAGCGCTGCCTGCGCTGGTTCCAGCGTGATTCCAATATAGGAATCCAGGCGTAGCGAAGAAGAAGATTGCAGCTTGGTCTTACTATGGCGAGACCGCAGGCCTGACACTGATGGTTGGATATCTGACTGAGTACTGGAGATAGAGGCAGGGGTTGCCGTCCCGGTCTCAGTCCCAGATTCAGGACCGGAGTGGGATGTAGAAGAGGAGCCATGTAAAATCTTTGTCAGATACAATGACTGATCACCACAGCCACACCCGACATCCAGGATTCTCAAGGCGGACGCCTTCTCCGTTGATAGCGCAGCCGTGAGAACCTGATCGAGGAGCGCTTGACAGGCTTCTGGGAAGTCATTTGTGTACTAGGAGGTGGGTCAATGTGGATTCAAAAAGGTGATTTGGGCCAGACAATTGGTTAAATGGTCTTTATTTGAGTGGATTTACCTCCCAGTACCCCATATTCATCCACATACTCTGCGCTGGGAGCTGTATGTTGAGGACGGCATGGTCCAGACCGTACACGTTTGCATGTGGTTTGCGCAGGGCGCTCTTGAGGAAGTCTAGCATTTCTTAAAAGTGCTGGTGGGGGATGGGAATGGGAATAGAGAACAATTCTTCCTCTTTCGTCAAATTCTGTAAGCCAGGGTGTGGAGCTTCCTGGGTGGACCAGTCAGCTACTAATGCCAAGCTATGTCGGTCTACTCCGTAGTACGTACCCCGTATACGTTGTACTATGTATCTGGAGGTAAGCGGGGGTTTGTTCTGATGGATAACCTACGCGAGTTCGACAGGCATAAAATTTGGCTGAAACATATGTATAACTCTAATACCTAAAACTGCGTGAAGAGATCATCACTCATTCACCCACCACCCCCCTCGACCTGCAGATGATAAGATCTGCAGTAGCTCTGGCTGCTAATAACAAAGAAAATAACATGGCTGGAAAAGAACACTATGAACAAGAAATCAAAGATAGTGACGTGGGACTAACAGGGAAAAGCCCAGGACAGTCACCACCTGAAGCAGCAGAGTAGAGTAGCAGGGCAATCAAATAAGACTGGGGTTTCTTTTTTTGATAATTTTGCCGGTTTTTTTCTTCTTTTGGCATTGGGACAATGCTTTATACAGTAGTGCCCACTCCGTGCTTCAGGTCGGAGATACTTGAGCCATCAGTCTTCTGTGAGGCCAAGAACTTCTTGAACATATCCGAGATATCTTGCTCAGACTGCTCGTCGGCACCGTTCTTCTCCATGATCAGACCACGGAGCCAGTGGTTCTCCAGCTCGAGCTGAGACACGCGAGCCTCAAGAATGTCGTTCTTGTCGGTGGTTTCCTTGACGGTCTGCTCGAGAGCAGCCTCACGTTGCTTCTTCTTCACACGGAAGCGAGCACTGGCAGCGGTGTTACGGCGGCGCTTGTCCTCCTCAGCCATGTGGCGACCAGCCTCCTCGGCGTTCTCCTGGGTGGAGTTTGACGAGTTCTTGCGCTTGGTACCGGTAACTGGAGTGGAAGGCGACATCGAAACAGAGGATGGAGCCGGAGCGACCTTCGGAGCGGTGTTGATTGGCGCAGGCTGGATGGGTGCCTGGTTTGCAGCCATAGGCCCATTAGAAACGGACGGAACCGCCGAAAAGTGGGCATTGTGCATGGGCACCTGGGCATTGGAGCCAGTCAGATCGGGCTGGTAATCGGACATGCCATTGAGTCCCTCCGCTATAAAGCCATTAGCATTTAATTTCCAAGCAATATCCACATCGCGGGTTTCGGTGTCCCGAAGAGTAGAGTTGACAGTCCGAGAGTCCGAGCAGTGCCGATCACGTGAAATGGCGTAATAGCGGAGAGGATTCACGCCAACGACCAAAGTCAAATTTGAGTGGAAGAAAACCCTGCTAGGGCCACGGGAAGGATGACCTGCAGGGTTCAAACTTTTCGAGGCGGGAGGTCATAGCTGTGAAAGTGCATGGGATGGTATTCAAGGTATGAAGCGCATGAAGCGCCAAAAATGCCCAAGACATGACTCGTGTAATAGGCATAAATGACGAATTTATAAGGCAACCAATGAAACATGTAAAAATGTAGACAATGGTCCCATGGACAATATTGTGAACGAGTCCGCGGGGTATGGTGTGATCAGGGGAAAGACATGCAGCTCAGGACTCGGGACTACCCAACCAGCGATGCGAAAGATAGAAACTGAAATCAGGCACACTTACCATTCAGGAAATCCAAGAACTTCAGATCGTCATTTTGTACGGATTGGTCTGAGACGGCCTCGTGTGTCTTGCTGTCTTCTGGGAATGAAGGCAGACCGCCAAAGTCGGTAAATTTGTCGAACTCGAAGAACTCGGTATTGGTGAACAGAGCTAGATCCTCATCGTTGAAGGTAGTCTGCTGCTGTTGCTGCTGCTGGGCCTGGTCGTACGGCGATGGAATTGCGTTCAAGTCATCGAGGTATTGCGAGAAGTTGGGCATGCGGCGCCCATTGTAGTTGGCCATGATGAAGGCTTTCCCGTTTTCTCGGGTACAATCAGTTTGAGGCAGGTGCCGATGAACTTGGAAATGCGCGTTGCGCAGGCGGAGAGACGTGACTCAGATACCGAATGCGGCTCGGTGCGGATGTGTCGCGAGTGCGATGGATGTCGAAGCACCTGCGAGGTGATTGTATTTCGATTCGTGTGAATCGTGAATTTGGCGATGTTGTAGGATAGAAGCCGGAGAGAAGGAGACAGAAGTTGGGGCCACAAGTGGGTTTTTTCTATGAACGTTCAGTGGGGGAAAGCCCGGGGGCCGGAGGGGTGGATGATGATTAATCTCCTGATTTGCCTTCATTTGCCTCCCAATCCGGATACACTGCGGGATTCTGTTTCTGGAAATATTCTATAATTACATCTATATGTGCATTTTTCTCTTCCGATTTACCCTACAATTTTATTCCTTCCCATACTCCATGTCGATATGTCTAAAATCTTATAGAAATTAATTGAAGGCCGAGAATCGGAGTCCACCGAGTTTAAATCCTCGGTTCCACGTTCCCATTTTCGAATTAGGGAATTCCCCGATCCTCTATTTTCCTTATATTATTTTATATTATGTATTATTGCGTTCTAGGGTATGAGATGAATACTGCACGAATCACGCATTACTCTATTCCTCCAATCCTACAATGCCTCATTTTCCTACTTCTCAATAAAAGCGATAAACGCGGCTCCCACACAAAACGGACACCGAAATGGGCCCCCGAAATCGGGGTCTGCAACCGCTGATTGGTGGACCTTGACAGCTTGGTCAGCGTATAACCCAGCCCTGGAGGAACGCCCTTCGTGTTCAGGTGAAGTTATTCCTGGTTGTTCCGAGGTGGCTCCGAATTATTCATCAGCATAGGTCATTTTAATGCCTTATCTTAGTGTGAGAATTATGTATTACAACCCTGTCATACTGACTATATGAGATCCTTGATCAAGCACAGACTTTTTACAAGGGTTTCAAACTCGATGCGGTTTAGCCCTGATCTCAGTGCACTGGCCACTGGCTCTATGAGGAATAAAATCAATATCTTAGCTTTATTAGGAATCATCAATTCGATGCAAAAATGAGCACTCTTGTTCCAATAGTGGATACAACTAGCATGTGGAATCGTTTTCTTGGTATCCCCACACTAATATACATAAAGCGTACATTGTAGATCCCGCAACGTGATGCTGTCATAGTCTCTATCCTATTATGCTAACCTACATACCTTCTTATTGGCCCATTGAGCTTCACCTCTATGAAAGGAGCGTTCGCTTACGCTTTCAGAACAAATCCAGGTAGGAATCCAAAATGAAAATAAGTTAGCTTTGTCGAGCCTTAGGACTCGCGCGAAGGTTAAGACCGAATCAAGTCGAAACACTCAAAATACTCTCTCGTAACGGCAACAAGAGTCCCGGCTTTTCATTTCATCGCGATGGGGCGGAAGAAAAAAACATAAGAATTGCTTAAAAGAGAGCAGAGCTGATATTCTGGGCTGGGTGTGCTCTTATTATGTCCCAGTTCACTAGAAGTGTTCTGTTGTTGGCAAAAACCACAGCTCCGTCCTTTTACTCAGGTCTATAGCACTTAGACCTACTATTTATATCCCAGGCTTGAGATTTATCTGTCTAGAGAAGCTAGAATATTTTAGAAGAGAGTGAGGTCGAATACCCATATCGAGGAATAGGTATGGGTATCTCATTACAACATAGTAGCCTCCCCCCAACACCACTACAATCAAAGCACTCTACAAGGTTAATATATATTTCCAAAATCCCGAATTTCTCAGTCAGTATTCGACTGTATACATAGACTGCTTTTCTAACATAGCATAAACTAGCCCGGATAACTTTGTTCCTGTCATCCGAAGATAAAAGCAAACCTTTCTTCGAATGGACTGTCGCCAACGAGCATCTCGAGGCACGATGCATGTTTAATTCAACGAAATGCTCCCTAGTGTAAATTTCACAGCCTACAGCCTTGTTGGGATCGCAGCCAGGATGATACCATTATCCGAAGCTAGTCAGTATCAATTCAATTTGCTTGTAATTATACAGAGTTCATTGTGTTTTTCCGTGTATTATACCTAACAAGTAATTGTAGCCAAGAAACAATACCAATATATCATGAGTAAAAAGAAATAAAACAAAACGGGGATCTAAGAAACAGTAGATGTATGGTACAAATATAACTTGGAGTTCAGCAAGCAACACATTGGAGTGAGCTTCTCGGCTAAAAATATGAGACATCTAATAGAACTCACCGAGTGTTCCACGGATTCCGGGTGGCCTTAGCCTTCCAAGTCCGATATAAATGTGAAACGTAGCTTGAGGGATGGGTTGGACAATTTTTGACGTTTGTATATGTATGGGTGGAAGGACGAGAGCCCTGGGGAGATAGGTCTAGATAGTGTATGCAACGTGAGTTCGCCCTGATATGTCAAATATACAAACCCCCTGAGATAAGCAAAACGGGAATACAAAAGTCCCATAAGGTCTTGCTAACTTGCACAGGCATAGGTACCCTGTAGGCCCAAGGCCCGGCAGTCACTTCCAGCTGACTCTCCACTACAGGTAGGGCTCAACATCAGACAGAAATGCACTTTTGTTTTGTGGTGTCGAGAACAAAACTTTTAAGTGGTTTGGATGCTTGCTACATATACCAATCCAAGTAAAGATATGAAAGACATGGGTCCAAGGCCGAATCTGATTGCAAAACTGCTTGGTTCTTCGGCCAGAATTTGGAGGCTTGGTATTACCCTGCGAGACGTCACACTGCAACACTCTTGAGAACTTATTCCCACTTTTATGATTTCACAAGATATGAATCAACTATATGGAAATCGATGACACGTTGCTCAGCTAGCCAAATGACTACAGATAGCTCTCACGCATGACTCGACCAACAGTGCATGCATACTATTAGATTTCGTACTAAATATCTCTTGCTAGGTGTGTCAAATGAGGCAAACAACCCGAAAGCAACCTCTGATGATCTGTTTGAGTAAGTAAGACAAGCCCAATGGCGGGCAAGGGCATCCCAGTTCTGCTTTGTCCCTACTGACATAGTATTCTTCCAGTAAGCATCATAGGCGAAATGCCAAGTTCACTCGATTGCTAGAAGAAGACGTCGGCCGGTAATATAATCTTCTCGCGGCAACTTTGAAACGGATGAGCCTCGAAAGGCCTATCGGAACAACCTGATCATTCGGGACATTATTGCGCAGCAGAAAGTCTCCCACAACTACTGTCAAACCCGAAGTCCTAACTATCCAAAGTGCCCGTATTTAGGGCAAGGACTCTTTACAAAGCCTCCCCGTCCAGATTCTCAACCGCAAATATCATTCCCACTGCAGCAACCCGCATGAACATGACGCAGGAATGAGAGCAACTGTCTATCCCCCATCAAGAATGGGCCAAAAAGGTCCATCATCTATATCAAACCCATCGTCCCTCCAGTTTGTCACAGGCCAACCAGGGAGCAACACCGACAGGAATGAGCATAAAAACAACAGTACTGAAAATCCAGAAGATAACATAGACCAAAACCTGGACGAGTCTTCCGAGCAAGAATGGTTTCAAACAGGAGTCGACTTTGTTTTATCGTAAGTATTCGCATCTTCCACCAATATTCTTGACATTATGCTCACGGACTTGGAGACTGGAACGGCCATGTCTGTCGCACATCTCAAGCGCACATCCCTCTGGCCATGCTATGTCAATACAAGGCACACTTCTACAGCTTGCACCCCCAACCCTCGACAGCGATTTGCGATGGCAGGTTTCAGCGGAAGTATTTCAAACGCTGTTTGAGATGGCGGACAAGCTTGACTTGGATGGGTACATAACGCCCGTCCAGGCGTGGAACAGGATAAGGGATCATGAGAACTTTCCACGGTTGACGCGTGAGAGATTGAAAACACTGGAGAATGCCATGAGGTCTAATATCAGGTGTCAGGGGTGAGTAATTTGTTCTTTTGTACATTGCTAAGTTTGTGCACTAATGTACTGCAGATTCGCAGCGATTATGGAAGAAGCCATCTTCGAGATATTGCTCAACAAAACTCTTGGTCCGTGATCAACGGTTTCTTCGAGAATCCAACATTTGACCGAGCTTTGGGTTTGATGCCTAGTTTTGCTTTTCCTTTTTTTTCCACTTGTATTATTTGCCCCTGGGGGGTTCTAGGAATACATTTGACGCCCATTGGTATATCTGTTCCACAAGGACAGACCGATGCCATATTTATCGAAGTCTAACCATTGACTCTCCAACCCCCTGGCAGCAGTACCATCCAATAGCTACATAATATAGCTGTAACACGTGGAATGTCAGTGCATCTCCTTCCTTCTTTAGAGGTCGGGTCACCGGATGAACACTGGTGCGCGTAGTCGCCCTTTCCCTATATGTAGTAGCTGCGTAGAAGGAGTACCCCTGAAAGAAAACCCCAGTTTATCCAGCTATCTCCCATAAAGACCGACCTAAGTAATGTTGCGATGAGTCGCCCACGACCTAGGGAGAATGAACTAGTACATTTTGGCCTCTCATGCTATTCTATCTACTCAGTATTCGAGATGCCTTGGAGCCAGTGGGTTCATTACCAAAACAGTGCACTTCACCCTTGCATAATGACATGCGGGGAATGACGAACAAAAGATAAATCGGTGAAGACAGGGCTTAGTCTTGGTGTATTATGTATGCTTCATCCCTTGATGATTCCGGCCCGGTCCGCCACTAAACCATTGGTTTCCATTGGTTTCCATTGGTTTCCATTGAAGAATAAAACTTGGAAGACATCGGGGTACATACAACCCTTGCATAAATGACATAGTGCAAATGAGAAATGTAGGAAGATCTCTTATCACAATACCAGTCTGCGTTCACGGTGCATATGGGTTAGGCCAGTACTACACTACAAAAACATAGACCGGCGAAAACGAGCTCTAGGATTGGAGTAATGGCCATCGTCCCAACATGTTGTGTAACAATATATATCAGGCTGGGAATTATGCACCCTGTAGGCAGTATGATTTATACTTTATCCTCACTTGAGCTTTTAGCGCAAGATAGTATATCAGGTGTTCAGCTTTATTAATGTTGAAAGAGTCCCACTCAAGTCCAACAACTTTACATTCACTCCCGTTTTACCCGGTGAAAGCTTACGCACATTTCTTTCTGGGTCCTCTACGCCGCGAAGATGCGAGCCTTCAGCCTTATGATAGCGATTCTGCCCTTGTTTAGCATCGGTATTGCGGCCCCTAATCCTTTGACAGCCGATTCAGATAAAGCCGGAGTTTGCTGTGGCGAAGTTTCCGAGAAAGGCGTATATTCTGCTTCTATAATTCTCAGATATTGTGCACTGCTAACTTGAACACCAGTACTGCGGTAAAACAAAAATGTCATTTTCAGATGAATGCTGTGGGGTAGGAAGTTAGTATTAATAAGTTTGAGGTGCCACTTGCATTGTTTCAGCGACTAACAAAATATCACAGAATGTAATGTTTTCTGCTGCAACTGCGATGGGGGGTGCATTTAAAGCAGCGGCCTGCTGCTTATCTCTATGCTTTTAGCTTTCAAAGTGAGAATATCTTTTTTCCGGGGATGTAAACTGTATGAAATCGGCTATGTGGTAAATTGCAAGCTACCTACTTAGGGATATTATTTTGCGTGTAGAGAAAGGTGCGTCCGGTTCAGTCAGTCTCTACAAGGACTCAATTTAAGACGGCCGACGGCTTCACTGAGTTCTGATGTGACGTTTTATCTCGTAGATTTATTGTCCAGGTCCACGGGGGTGTTTAGTGTTACTAGATAAGAAGGCATGGGGTAAACCCGAGGAACGTCACCCACCGGTTACGTGTGCCATGCCCCTATCTGTTTGCCTATTGACCCTGAATACTAAATAGTCGAAGGTTAGACTGGTAAAAAAATCTAGTGGACTGGTGCGACGGTAGCGACTAAACCCAAGCTGGCATATAATGTGCGAAAATATGCAACCAGGTTCCAAGGCTTCGATAAGATAAACGACTGGGGTCGATGGTCATAAAACATTGATGAAACCGTCTATAGAGAATAATTATATTTGCGTTTTGATACCCTGTGGTAAGGTCGACCGTTGCCTGGTCCTTGTAGTGATTGGCTTGCTCCGACAAAGGTCCTTTACAAGCCATGATTATATGTCACCGACACCTCGGTTGTCATGTTGATTTTTTCGCCTTTTGGAGACATGGGCTCTAGGATTGCCGTTTGACTTCCTAAATCGTGAACAGTCGTATGTCCAATGTTCGTCTGCGTTTCGCCCTGAGAGTTGTCGAAGACCTTGTGGCTGGGAGGTAGACCTGGATACGGGATCATGTTATAATTGTCCGATGCTGTGCTGGGGAATATCTTCGTTAAGAGAGGTTTAAGTGCGGGAATAGATGCAGCGGTGATAGCGAGACCGTCTTCCACAGCTGCCCAGATCAATAAGGGAGCAAGTTCCCCTAAGTAAAGAGAAGAAATTAGTTTCGGAGGAAGAAAAAAGAGAAACAATTAGTGGCGTACATGTGAAGTCGGCTTTGGCCGAGAGGGCCACGAGGTGGATGGTCTTGACTATGGATGCTGCACCTGCGCTGTGGAGAGACAAGTCAATCAGTACGTGGGATGCATGGTTAAGAGTGTATAAGGGGCTCTGCCCAAGTACTTACAAGATTCCAAGACTCATTGCAACGGCCACACCAAGCTTTTCCTTCTTCCTCATTTGCAAGTTCCAGACAATTGTCCACGGCAGCAGTGCTAAGACGAAGTCTTGTGCTCCAGAATAGGCTGTATGAAAAAATTTGAGCGTTAGTCGTTAATACCACAATCCGAACAGACTTCTGCAAGAAGACTTACCACCAACAAAGAGAGAGAAATGGGTAAAGATGTGCGACGGCCAACACTCTGATGGAATCATTGGATTCCACAAATGCCGAGGATCTTTGCATTGCAGAAAGACAAAGAGTGCAGCCAAGATATTGACAACATTCATTGTCACGATCACGAACCATAGCAGTATAACCATCCATCTGTCGACCACGATCCGAAGCAACGTGACAGCAAAGGACGTCTTGCCAAGGGTGCATGCCATGATAGCCAGACTTTCGCCAATATTGCACAGGAGCGCTACCTGAATGAGGTTATCGGGGTTTTTCTGGACTATTTCAAGGTGCTGTCCTAAGCCCAGATTTGCAGCAACATGACAGACAGCAGCGTATGCAACCAGACAACCCTATCAAAGGAACGAAGTCAGCAAGATCATCCGAGCCAGTCAGACATGAAAATAAACGAGTCCCTTACAATTGCGGCAATTGCGATACCGTCATCCCAGCCAAACACTTTCCGCATGTATACTCGCACATACAAGCGCATCAAAACGAAGGCCAAAGGAACCATCGACATTGTCCACATCACACCCTGTACCGTATGAGCCTGGCTCCCCAACGGGGGAGAGGCACTTCCGCTAGACGACATCCTAAACGTCGGCCAATGCTGCCCGGAATCACAATCCGGGGTATACCCGTAAGGTTAAAGATTCAACGCCCCCAGATGTGGGCACGCCACAGGTGATTACAAGCGCATGGGACTGCAGGGGAGTTAAGCATTGTTAAGAGGGCATCATATTCAAAAATTAGATTAACCCGAGATAAAACATGACAGGGGCAAAGTCCGAAAAAGCCAATACATATGTAGTTAGTATAGCAAGTGGAGCTCGTATTTCCCAAGTTGATCTTGAAAAGATCCAATCGATCGGTTTAGGGCCTTCCTGATTGGAACAAGCCTGACATTGTGATTCGCGTAACATGGCAGTGGATCTGCCAGGCCGAAAACAATGACCAGGTTATATGACAGGTTATATGACCTTTCCTAAATGGGCTAATTAGGTAGCCGCTGTCTCAGAACCATGGTATCTTTCGGGCGCTAGGGCGGCGCCGCTGTAAAGCCAAGGTTGTTATGACCAAATTAGGAAATTGGCTTCATCGCAGAACCAGTCATGATCATCAAAAATCAACTACGGACTCCACATTCCGACCACCCCCGTCTGGAGACGAACGCTAAATCCCACTTGGATATAGTTTTGATATCCATTGGAGCATTGTCATTTCTGCACTAGAAAGCCGGTATTCGCGCCGTTTACAATGTTTTTTTTCTCCGCAATGGTCCCCACGCCTTGAAAACTGAAAGTGTTGGTCAAATCAGGTGCCCCTTTATCTCAGCCCTAGTGCCTATGGTGCTTGGGGCTTGAAAAGCTGCACCTGTCAACCTGCACGTCTCACGAAATTCTAGCCATTGGCAGTGTACATTGGATTTGGAAACTGGTTGCTTCTCTGCACGTACCTTTGTGCGCGCCCAGAATCCACATTTATCGATGTCGGAAATGATCCCTCTTCCTTCCAGCCTGTGGGCCCAGGCCCTGGCCACTCTGGGTCTGCTTGTTTTGATAAAGCTGACTTCGGATGTGTTCTTTTCACGCTTGAGAACCATCCCTGGCCCGGCGTTGGCCAAGATCACCGATTTTTGGCGTGCGTTCCACGCATATGGTGGACGTATTGATCTCAAGAATGTTCAATTACATCGGAAATATGGCACAGCGGTACAGGTCGGGCCCAATTGCGTGAGCATATCAGACCCGAATCTAATTCGGACAATTTACTCTACCCGGAATCCATGGAAAAAGGTTGGAAATATCTTCTCCTAGTCAATACCGTTCTTTTAGATGCGAGAATAGGCCGTGCTGACATGTAATCATGTAAAGAGTGATATGTACCGCCCCAACGATGTACTGCTTGAAGGTCATCGAATGTCGAACCTCTTCAATACCCAGGACGAAGATTGGCACAACCAGAACATCCGACCTATTCGGGGCCTTTGGAGCATGACCAAGGTTCTGGAATACGAGCCCCTGATCGATGAAACATTGACCAAGTTTGTGGACAAGCTAGCGCTGAGATTCGTCGATGGTGATAACGCAGGAAAGATTTGTCCGGCAGATGAATGGATTGGTTTCTGTGAGTATACTCTCAATCACCACCTGGGACCCTGCGTAAATTGAACCTAACATATCA